GTTATTTAACAGATTTTAGAAAGTCCAAGGGTTTATTTGTTCCAAAAAATTGTCCAAGGGTTTAATCGTTTCAAACAGTAAAGTCCATTGAGTTTTTTTGAACTTTTCCCAACATTTTAAATGATATACGAATTTTTACTCTACATAACATCATCTGATTTTGATGTAACGGTTTTCACATGATCAAATGATTAATAATATAACTTCATAATTTAATCGATAGGTACAAGATTTACCCGTTCGCAATTAAAATGGATAGAAAATAAGAATAATTAAATATTTATATCGAAAAAAATATTAATATAAATATATTAATTATGATTCTTTATTTATCATTCCATTGTCGTCCAGCGGTTAGGATATCTGGCTTTCACCCAGGAGACCCGGGTTCGATTCCCGGCAATGGAACCTTTTTTATTCGGGTCGGTTAATTTGGATCCAGATCCATTATACGAGTTCAACGATATCCATTGTTCATCAAGTTCTTCAATCTTGAAATCTTTTAAAACCCCAACTACAATTTTGATTCCCTCAGTTTGCTCGTTGTTTCATCCAATTACGCTTTCTCTCTCATCACTAGCGTTTGAGTTCGATCGTGCTATTCAATCTGGTTCATCATAACAGGTAAAATCATTGGGTTTTTTAGTTGTTGTTTGTATTTTCGTAGTTGTAAGTAGGAGCTAGTAATTGGGGCTGGTTTGTGCCTGCTCCTGCACTCCCTCGACCAATCTGGTAACTTGTTTTGTGGTTTACATCTGATTGTGTGATCTTTGGTGGTGATGGGTTTGGAAGAAATCCATTGCTAATCGTAGGTTATTATTTTTTATACAATGTGGAATTAAGTTTTTATGATGACCAAGTTTATAGATTCATCTTTTGATCTTTGTGGTGCGATTTGGTTCTTGTTTTGATCTGTGGTGCGACTTGGGTTTTGTTAGTGGAGCAAGATTCAATTTTTTGTTGTGCACACCAACTGTTTGATATGATTGTATGCGATACTTGACAAATAGAAAATTTCTGTTGATGTTCATTTTAAGGTGGGGGCACTTGGGTAAGTGCTTGATGGGTAAGATTCTTGGCATCGTATACAACAATCTTACCTGGTAGATGCTTAACAGTAAGAGTCATCACCCTCACTTAACGAGTACGTGCTTAACCATCATACTTGGCATGTGTTCGGTGATTGGATTTCAGTTTGTATTCCCTTTTCTAGTTCAATTCTTAGTTGCAATAAATCCTAACCCAAGTGAAAGATTGGCTACCATGTTGGACAATGAAAACAATTTAGGATTTAAAAACTCAAGATGTTTGGATAAATTCTGAATTTGAGAAAGTATCTGATCGAACATCCTAAACGGAGTCGACTATTTTCTTGGAAAATGATCAAAAATTGACCACAAAATCCTAAGCTTTTATAGATCTACTTGCATGAGGTCAAATGAGAAAGCTGAAGATGATTCTTTGTCATGATTTTTTAAAGGTTGAAGCTGGACAATAACTAGAGCTCTAGGGCTGTTTGGTTGGTTTTCCATTGAGTCCTGTATGGATAAATCTATCTGTGTGAATTAATATGTTTTCTACATAGATTGAGAAGGTCTTTTTAGGAGGGTCTTTTCATAGATGGAAGGAGCGTGTTCTTTAATTGGGAGGGGCAAGTTTGGAAAAAAAAACATGGCTTTTTGCATAAAGCTCCCCCTTGAAGCTTACTGAATAAACCACTTACTATATATATTTAAGCCACTACCAAACAGCCATATATAGCTATAAGTCCTATTAAGCTCATTAAGCTTCTAACAGATAGGCCATCACTTGCATATACGACAAATACTCATGCATACTCATCATTTTTTGTGAGGTTTGAACCCTTGACCTCCTAGTAGGCTCACTCTACTTATAACCCAGATACCTTTCGGCTAATGACCTTCTGGTTCATCTTTTTTACTACATAATTGCTATTGGCATGATTTATGTTCATGCTAGAAGCAGGCTTATTTGAATGGCTTAAACACGAAATCTACACTCATTATTTCCTTTGTCTTCTGTTTGTTTGGATGTGTACAGGAAGCAATGGAGAAAGAGGGGGAAGTTGGGAAGGAGAATCAAGAAATTGAAAGCGAGAAAGAGCGTATTGAGATAAAGGTACTGTTCTTTGCTCGTGCTAGAGATGTAAGCGGGATGAGTGATATGAAATTGGAAGTTTCGTCTGGTAGCACGGCGGGTGATTGCTTGGATCAAGTTATTGGGAAGTTTCCGGGGTTGAAAGAGCTGCGCGGATGCATCGTGCTGGCTCTGAACGAGGAATACACGATGGAGTCCGCGGTGGTTAAGAATAAAGATGAGTTAGCCATTATACCTCCTATAAGTGGAGGTTAGTTTTGATCATCATACTTGCAGTCTTCTGATACAATACAATGTTATACAATAAAATTGATTTATACTTATCATCCTTGTAAACAAACTCTTATGAACCCATTGATAATGGTATTATCCTGCTTCATTTCTAGATAAAAACCTTAAAAGGGAGTTGTACATGATGTTTGTTAAAAGAATTTGACTTTAAATGAATTAGAATGGAATGTTGTCAGGTTTGACTACATGTTTGGTTGGCATATATTGGAATGAAATCTGTTAAGAAATTGAAATATGTCTGTTTGGTTCACAAAATGTAACTTTGGAATTAGAATGAAATATTGGTAAATGACTAAAATGCTTTTTTTTATGAAATTTTAATTTTTTAAACTGAAAATACTTTAATAAAGTAATTATTTAATATGTAAAACAAGATTAAATACACAACCCAAATATAACCATAAACCAAACGACGTTACTAGATCGATATTAAAATTGTCTCGAAATAGCTAATTCTTTATAATGTAAAATAGCTAATTCGATGGTGGCCGGAGGTGGTTGAGATGGCGATGGTCGGCGGAGGTCGACGGTGATTCAGATCGACCGCGGTCGAAGGTGGTCGATGATGGTCATATTGGGTTTTAATTTTATGAGATTAACATATTGGGTTATGGGCATATTTGGTATCATGAAAATAGACATTCCATCAAAATGTTATGTAGTTGCGAAAGATTGTTAAATTCCTTTATTGGTGGAATTTCTAGGATTTTGAAGATTATTTTCATGAAAAAATGAACCAAACGAGAAAATAAAATTTGGTCAGTGGAATTCAACATTTCAATTCCATCAAATTCCTTCAGAACTACGAACCAAACAACATTTCAACTCCATCATATTCCTTCAGAACTATGAACCAAACGCTTCCTTAGGTCCCATTTGGTTTGTAAAATTGGAATGGATTTAAAAGAATTTGTAATTAAATTCTCGATTCAATCCCATATTTGATTTGAAAGGTTCATGGATTTGAAATCCGTCCCACAAACATAGGATTTGTTTGTGGGACAAGATTTCATAGGATTTGTATATAATAATGTTTTAAACTATATTAAAATTTTTGTTTTGTAAGAATTAGTTAATAAAAAGTTAATTTAATTATTTTTATAATTCGTTTTTATTAATAAATAAAGGAATTAAATCCTAATCCAAATCCTACAAACCAACACACCAGAGATTCCAAATCCTTAAAAAAAATCCAAATCCCTCGAAACCATTTCATAACTCCCCCTTTAGAAGTTACATAGATCCCAACACCCCCTAATGTACATGTCTAAACTAAGGTATTGCAACAAAGCTGAACATGTAACAGCTGATTCAGGTCAGTCAAGCAGCAACATCTGCTTGAAATTTAACTACATAGAAAAAGATCAAAATGTTACTACTGGTCTTGCTCCCACCCTCCTAATCTTAACCCCGGGTCGTAGTTTGTGAAGAGACGGAACTCGTTTCCAAGCTTGCTCGAGTGCTGTGGCCGAAATCCACATGGACGCAGCCCTAGAAGTTCCGCTGCTCTATCCTGTTGTACTGCACCTGTATATATACACACAAGGAATTCATCAAATACAGCAAAGAAACAGAACCTTGTTATATAGATTATCCGTCTCAGGGACCATGTTTAACAAAATCTGGTCCAACAAGTGGCTTATTGAAGAGCTCATAGAGCTCGAGCCATCTTGTTTGACAATGTGAACCAAGCATATTACCAACATAAATTGGGTAAACGGCGGTAACCGAGTAAGAGGTTTGGTCTGAGTAAGTGTTGACTAAAAATGGTTATCGTAGGTAAGTGTTGACTAAAAATGGTTATCGTAGGTAAGTGCCGACTAAAGCACTGACTGATTCTGCTCTGCCAACGAGAACTTATAATCGAAACCGACAAACTGGAAAAACAGCTATTGCTTACTGGGTCTACATTTCGATCAGGGTCACCGTGTGTTGGGTAAACAACATTCCTTCTTACAGGATAAGCACCTCTTACCCAGTAAGGGACGGTCAGCAGGTAATAATCAGTCCTGCTAAATAAGCCAAGGAACTTTTTTTGAGATAGCTTATCTGTTATTTTATTTGAAAGGCACACTTTTGATTTATACACGTCCATACAGGAAAAGCTAGGCTAGAAGCATAGCCAGCCAACATGAACGGTCGATTCATCCAATGATGATTGCTAGCGATTGACTGGTTCACACACACACACAGATAGATCATACATGTACCATAGTGTGTGTACTATTCTGCTAGACATCTACCTATAATTTTGACGTCACTAGGTTATGCTTAAACACACAAATATAAAGAAAAACAAATGCAAAAAAGAGCCAGTAAGGGGCTGTTTGGTTGGTTTTCCATTAAATCCTGCATAGATAAAGTTAATTGTGTGGATAATCTATCTGTATAGATTGGAAAGATTTTTGTTCAGGAGGGTTTTTTCATAGATGGAAGAAACGTGTTTTTAATTAGGAGAGACATGTTTGGGGAAAAAACTTGGCTTTATGCATAAAGCTTCTCCTTAGAAGCTTAATGAATAAGCCACTTTCTATATCATTAAGCCACCACCAAACAGTCATGTATAGCTGACCGAATAAGTTGCGAGTCCTATTAAGCTCATTAAACTGCTAAGAAACAAACCCTAAATAGAAGAACGAGAATAGCCAACCTGTGAGTAAAAGCAAGTATGATTCTCCAGGTTGCTTAAGAAAATATATCGTTTCTGAAACTTTTTCCAGACACTCCTTGCTCTGTCCATCAAAAATACCAGAAAATTTTGACAAGGAATTAATATCTTCAAGATTGCATCCTTTAAGCAGAATGCATGAACCAGATAAGGTAGATAGAAAGTTTGATGGTAAAACTTAAGAATGAAACATGGATCTCACTATCTCCAAGAGCTATGAGAAATCGAGAATCAAACGAAATGTTCTCACATTGTAACTCAGAAATAAAATTGCGAGAAATGTGCAAATGGCATGTTGGTATCGAGTAAAAATTACCAGATAAGGAGGATCAGCAATGATGATACGGAATGCATGCTTCATTGACGATGGGAGCTCTAACGGTTGATTGTAGTCATAGAAAGTGAACTCGCTTCCATATTGTTTAAAACGGTTGTCGTATTCAAGAAGTTGCACAGGCAAATTATGGTGCATTTTCTGAAAACCAGGTGAAGAACAGAGAGGTTAAAGTTCTTTTATACATAAAAAGAGATCATTTGGGAAAGAAGTAACTCTGAGGTTTAATCCTATCTTCAAGGAGCCTTGGATAGAAAAACCACCTGCATTATCTATACATTCTGCTTGGTATTTCACTTAGACTCTTGCCATATTCAGACAATGTTCCATTCTCTGATTCTCACTAGTCATAACCCATTAAGATTAGTTCTAGATCCATCTGAAAATTTTAGAAAGAATACATGTTCATCTTAATATGAAGCCATAAATTGATTGTTAATCGGATTAAACTCTGTAAGTTATTCCTGTTATCTCATGCTCTAACAATTCACAATCGAATAAGGTGATTTCCATCACAATTTTGTCACTATATGTTCCAAATACTAGCAACAACACTGGCCTACAGCAAACACCATATTTTTTAAGAACATGTCCTTTCTAAGACCTAAGTTAACAACTGAAATCATTTATACTTCTAGTTCTTTTCATGTTGGATTACATAATTTTTCATCCATGTTTCGAACTCCAAACACAATTTCCAAGGCATTTCCAAATAAGAATTAATTTAACATCTTCTTATTCCGTGAGCCACATGCCTGTCAGTAGTAACTCTAACCGGCAAAATTTCATTAGACAATTCAACATCAATATATGGTGGTAAATCACGTACTCCACCAAGAAAGAATTAGAAATGAAATGGTTTCAATTGTTAACTTAGATCTTAGAAAGGATAGGTTCCTGAAAAAATTGTGGGATATGGTGTTTGTGGTAACCCGGTGTTATTGCTAGGATTTCAAACATATGGTGGCAAAATTGTGATGGAATCACCTTCTTCTACTGTGAATTTGTAGAGCATGAGGTAACAGGAATAACTTAACAGAGTTTAAATCAATTTATGGTGTTCAAATTAAAGCAAACATGTTAGGCAAATTCTTTCTAAATTTTCAGATGGATCTAGAACTAGTATTGATGAGTTATGAGCAGTGAGAATCAGAAAAAGGAACATTGTATGAATATGGCAAAAGTCTTGAGTGAAATACCAAGCCAAATGTATAGATAATGCAGTGGTTTTTCTTTTAGAAAATTCAGTATCAAATCAGTGTGAATACACAGCATCAAAATCTCCTTACACAAATTACATATGGTAACAATAGTATAAAGCATTTCGTATGAGCAGGTGAAGCTACCTTGAGATAAACGTAGAGAGTGGGGCAAGCAATACAAGCAACAGAAGGAGGAGAATCCATGGACGTATAGAGTGCGTGAACTTCTCTCGCCACCGTCTCAGCGGTTTCCCGATCATACCAGAACTGGCTTAGCCTCCAGTCCTCCGTAACTAACGCCACCACTTTGTCTTCCTCCGCCACCGTCGCTCCATCGTTATCTGCGGTGAGTGAGCTGTTCTGTTCAGAGAGAAACTCCCTGAGAGCTTCTAGCGCATGAGAACTCAGCATCGGAGTGTCGTCGTCGTCGGCAGTGCCAGCGTTTCGATCACTAACTTGCTCCATTTCGTAGGGTTTGTTGATTTCGGTCGTTTCGGTCTCTAAAACACACAACAGTGCTAAAAGGCGGTTAAAATATTTTGCAAACACAACCCTTATCTTTATGTGAGTTTCATGTTACACCCTCTTAAATTGTTTATCGTCAATTTCATAAGTTTTGTCAATATAATTTTATTGGACAAATTGCATGAAAAAAGTAACGTACTTTAACTTGATTCTTATTTTGAGTAACATACTTTTAAAACTTTTATTTTTGTATCTAAAATGTAAAGTTTTAAACATTTAAGTACCCAGGTAACCGATTGAAGACTAGTTCTAGATTAAAATAAAAAAGTTATTGTTACTAACCATGTCAGCAAATAATACTGAGTTAGATACCACATCACTCACCACATCAGTATGATAACTGGTTAATGCTTCAACCGGTTACCCTAATAGTTTACTCCAACATATTCTCCAAAGTAAAGAATTTGAGGAATTTTATTCTCATAGATTCGTCAAACCCTTCTCTCAAAATCTAAGAGTCGTTTACCTAAACACTTATCCGGTAAATGCTTAACGATAAAATTCAACGCCACCGCTTACTAACCGGGTAAGATTTTATAATTTACCCAGTAAGCGTTAACTGTAATAAGAGTCGTCGTCATCACTTACCGAGTAAGAATCTCGGTCTCTGCCTTCATTTTTACTAGGTAAAATTCTTGATCCTTATCATATTCATTTGGTAAGGTATTATGACTTAGCAAGCATTTATGCAAGTAAACATTTGGTAAACGGGCCAATGTTAATTAAAAGATGGCAATAATATCTAAATTGTTAATGGGCCTTGTTATAAATAAGCCCAAATGTTAATCTGGAAAGGTCTGTTTGATAATCGGACTGTGATCAAAACGCTACGGACGTCGAGAACAACCGGTGAGTGTAAACCAAGAATCAACGTTCAAAACACTCTGCCGATTTCTTCGAAGCAATTTGCAGTGAACGATGAGATCAAACATTGTATCGGAGGTAAAAACATCAAACACCTTGTACTCGTTTCTTCTTTGTTGCTTCAGTTGATATGAAGTAAGCGTATTTCGATTTTACTCTCTTTGCGTGTGTGTGTTCGTGTTTAATTCTTTCTTCAGCAAGAATTGTTAGGGTATTAGTTGGTGCGAACGGTTTCTTGTTAATTGGATGAGAATTTAAACAATTCGGAACTTGTTGTAGGTTTTGCGAAGTGGTCGTAAGATCAAGTTTCAAGTGCTAAGATAATGTGTAGGGAAATGGGGTGGTTTTTTGTAGTTCTTGGTCTATTCTTTAATTTGATTATTAGATTTAATCAAGTTTGCGGGAAAATCGTAACCTTGTCTCGTTGTGGGATTTCTTGATTGTTCTTGATTTCGCATTGATTGGTTTAAAGCTTGGATTCGATCTCTAGCTTAAAGCAAAAGGAGAATTGTAACAGAAAGGAAAAAAAAAAGTGGAAGGAAAATAAATAGACAAGGATCAACTTTCCTGGAAATACAATCAAGACTAACCTACCAGGATGGAGAAGAATCCACTGTTGAACTCAATTGAAAGAATACAGGGTGTAGAGATGCTGAACTAACCCTAACCCTAACCCTAACCCAAAATTGGGCTCTGAGATTGGGTGGAATGGAACTAGGGAACTAGTTATGGGTCGGGGATAAATGATTGGATACACACTCTATTTTGAAAGTGAGGAGTTTATGCTTACAAAGTAGTATGGCATGGTGTAGGTTCCGCAAAATAGTTGTTCTTGAATTGGTGGTCATTTACGAACCTTTATTTATGTGCATGTTCTTTTCATCCCTAATGTTGGAACTTGAAAGTTTTTTAAGTACTTTTAGTTTCTTTTTAAATTCATTTGCAACCAGTTAAATTAGCACATCCACACTTTGAGATGTGTTATCCGCAATGTAGACCTCTTGATGCATAAGTGGCAAAGGGAGATTTGTGACAAGAGGAGGGTGTTTGAAAGACATGCTATAGATGACAATAATGAAAGACACAAGTTATGACACAATATTTGAGTTTTAAATGTTACATTCAGTGTTCCCACCTACTCTTTTAGTTTTAAACTAAAAGGCAATAAAGAAATCTTGAATGAGAAAGAACATCTTTGCCTTTTGATTGTGGAACTAACATCTTTCCCTTTCAAAACACCAATCATTCATTAATTTTTTTTGAAGTTCCTGGATTGATAGGTCGCTTTTGACCCATAACAGTATACAGATTTTCATAATTATAACGTTTTTCTTTCCATATTGTTCCATGCAAATAGACGTCCTCTTTTTAATACATAAAATCTATCTATTCTTTTTTAACGGAAGGGTGTTTAACTGTTTTATATATTTAACAAATAGCAAAACAATTTCCTTAACTATGGTTGAGTCAACGTTGCAATTTGCACGAGAAACAAAGCATACAAAACATAGTCGAACGCAATAACCAAATATTAAATAAAATTAACCCAGTAAACCTGGTGCAGAGATAGGGTTTGATGGGTAAGATATAGTGATGTACATAGACTTTGCTTCTACTCCAAGAGTTAGAGAGGTTGTTTTCGTGAAGACCCCAGGCTTGCTAAATAAAAATTAAGAGGAACAAGCAAGCAGACTACATGTGAGAGACTGTGTGTATAAAGAAGCAACAATTATAAAGCAAAACAGAGAATACATCGAGGACAGATGCGACATGCGAGGGTAATAGGTTAAACAAACAAGGAACACAAAGAACTCAATACTGGCAACTACTGTACAAGAAGAAAAACTAAGATCGGTATATTGCAAACATGTTACACACGCAGATACGAGGCCAAAAAAAGATCTGTCTCGGCTCTCAGCCCTACCGGCAACCTGTCTACGTGCATGCACATGCTCTAAACTGGCATATGTATTGCTGATCCCAAATCGAACAAATAACAAGGTATGGTGCAGCAATCATTTATTACCTATGTTTTGTACTATGTAAACAAGGTACCAGCTACCTTGGAGACCTGTTGATGTTAATATAGCCCCGTAGTCAGGAGAGATGTTAGTGACTGGAAATGGAGTTTTCCTGGGATAGGAGAGCATGTGGAGGATGCTATGTAAATCCCAAAAGTGAATCGATTGATTCATATCCTTATAAATTTTTCGTGGCACGTGTTGTTAGTGACTTAGTGTATTTCAATTAACTTCAAAAAGAAGGAAGAAGGGAAGTGTTTCAAAGCAAATCAGCCTGAACTTCCGTTTTTTGCTTCTATTAGTATTTGATTCACTGTTCTCTTGATACTGAGTAAGTTCTGGTCTGAACAGGCAGGGTTTCCTACAAGATTTAAGCAATGGTGGGAAGGCATACCATTCCTTACTTCTGTGGTGGTTGCAGTTTGTGCCGTGATTTACTTGGTTTGTCTTTTGGTTGGCTATGACTCTTTTGCAGAAGTATGTTTCTGGCCCTCTGCTGTTATTTCAAAGTTTCAAGGTATGTAATGATTTCTAGACCGAATAATCACCACTTGCTATGTTATTATGCATGATCTAGTTTTTAAAGTCCTATAAGGCATCCTTTCAGTTTTTTCTTGTTCCCTTATTCTCTAGTGTGTTCCCCTATGCCATATACTTCTCTGGACGGACTATGGTTTGCGGTTGTTTAATCTTTTTCTCTTTGTTTTGGTTTCTATTTCTTTTGCAGTTTACAGGGTTTTCACTTCTATATTCTTTCATGGTTCAATACTTCATCTCGTATTCAATATGTTGGCCCTGGTTCCTTTAGGCTCAGAGCTGGAGAGAGTTATGGGCTCAATCCGTTTGTTGTACATGATTGTTCTGTTGGCTACAAGCAGCGCTATTTTTCACCTTCTAATTACATTAATAGCTGCCTACAACCCCATTCACTCGTATTACCATTTTATGGATGAGTGTGCGATTGGCTTCTCTGGCGTTCTCTTCTCTATGATTGTTATAGAGACGAGTCTAAATGGAGTCCAATCTAGAAGGTTAGTTTCTTCAGTGTTGACTCTAAATTGATATTTTGTAGTATCATATAGATAATGGTAAAGCTATAATATTACGTGCTTCTATATTTTTAGACTTATTTGAAGATTATTTGTGCTTTCCAAGACTGATTGGTTATCGATTACATTCCTTTAGTTAATGGATGCTAGGATAAATTGAAAGAAAAATTCCCATATCTCAATCGATCTTGATTTGCTTCTATGTTACTGATTGACCTATTTCTTTCTTTTTGCAGTGTGTTTGGACTTTTTAATGTGCCTGCTAAGTTGTAAGTACTTTTCACCTAAGTTTTTTTTTTTTCTTTCATTTTTTGCATTATTTAAGACTTCCACGTTGTGATTGCTTGCAATATGTTTCAGGTATCCATGGATATTATTGGTGGTGTTCCAGCTTCTCATGACAAACATTTCATTGCTTGGACACTTATGTGGGATTTTATCTGGATTTGCATGTAGGATTCTTTTCCCTTCATGGTCACAAGTGTACTTCCCTCTCCCTTTGCTCGTAGTCTCTTACAATACATGTTTATTTTGATTTCAGACACTTATGGATTATTCAACTTTATAATACCGGGGAGCTCTTTCTATTCGGGCATAGAATCCTCTTCTTGGCTTGTAAGTATTGTTTCGATTCATTTTGAGCTTCAAATTGTATATAAGTTTTGTAAATTCAATTTAACGCAATTTATGGATGGTCCTATAAGATTCATATAAATATTGCATCCAACAAAATAGAAGACAAAGCATATCAAATCTTGAAATAGAGTGAGAGAAGTTAACTGACATGAGATGCCGGTAGATTGACGTCATCATGATCCTAAATTTATTTGTATAGTGAGGAAAAATATAACTCATTATATAATAGAGATTTCTATAAATAGTATTACAAGGAGTGCTCATCTAGAAACAGATCTTTTTAAATTTGCATTGGGAGAATGAGGATCCACGTTTTAGTACCTAGGGGGCAAGTGGCAAGTGGGTACCATTCTTTCAGCGAACGTGTCACGTTCCAAGTTTTTTATCAATATGCATCCACAATCCAACATATCTCACATGTTTGTTACGATAAATTATGTTTCCATAATCCACATATCTCATATGTTCATTACAGCAAATTAAGCATGCTTAAGTATACAACAAATATGATGGAAGTTGTAAATCATTTGAATCTTAACAAAACAAATACGTGTATCTGGTTTCATTTAAAAAATGCTCATAGTAACCTCGTTGGGTGGATGATAATCTAACCCCTTTACCATCATCCAAGGCATTGTTCCTCGACCTATGAAACATCTCAGAATCACATTCTATTACTAATCGTTTAAATTCATTATCTCAATTCCCTTTAAAATAACTTCAAAACTGCAACGTATAACCCTCATATAACCCTCATTAGTTCATCATTCTTAAAACCCTAAAACATTTTAACCCTAAAGTATCAACTAAAGTTTACATACACGTAAACCATTCAAACATATACTAACTTATATATCTATACATATTCTCACCAAAACAAACCCAAAATTTCCATTTTCCAACTTAATACAGAAGGATGCCGTAATGGCGCTTATAAATGACTAAATTTCTTGAATCCAAGACATACCAAATTTTTGTATGCTAGGGTATGTTGCTCTCTTCAATGATATGGACAAGTTCTGTGAAGAATTCAAAAGCTAAATCCTAAGAAATCATTACCTCCAAATAATGAGTATTCTTTATGTTTTTCTCTTCTTCTTCCCGTTTCTTCTCGTTCTTTATTTTTTTCCTTCCTGAGAGAGTGAAAGTGAGGGGATGTATGGGAACGGTTTTATTAATATGAATTATAAATCTCTCAAGTTAACCTCATTGCTCCCTTAAACACTTTAATATATTTCCAATACTCGTTTTAGAATTTAATTTTAAATTCAATATATTCTCAAATATTCTAATGCTACATTAGTACATTATGTAAACATACTTTATCGTACCCTTATCTTATTTTATTATAGATAATATACTTGATAAATTTGTGGGTGTTACAATTGTAACTCTCCTGATGAAATGTCTAAATTTGAATGGCAATTAATGAAGGGAGAAAGGGTTTTAACATGAGAAAAGTGGTGCAATCTCCATCCTTTCAATAATATCACCAGGCAAGATGCATCCAGGAAGAAACACAAAAGTCAATCATACACCATGTAAAGATAGTTGTCTTGAAAATATCATGCAAATAAATGGAAAATAGAAAAAGTAACACAATCTTTGTTGTTTCGTTTTGAAGTGATATTTGGCATACTCCAAATGAAAATATTAGTAATTTTGGGAAATCATGAAATCTGTCTACACTATTATTTAAGGTGCGCATGACTTCTGAAAGTTTATAAGAAATTATACATGCACACACACACACACATCTATACATACAAACACTCATTAAAAGGGATGAAAAGCAATACATGGTTAAAGTATTGAATTTATTGTAGCGTCATTAACGCCAGCATGCATAGATTGAGACGATCACATGTACATTAAAATTCTTAACATCCAATTAAAGAATCACACCCATTAACAATTTAACTATAAGATACATCTGTCAACATCTTTGATGTAATATCTTAACAATTTTGCTGATGATTATATTCCAATGTGTGTTCTTTTGCAGTCAACTTGTGTGCGTAGACCAAAATATATAATGTGCACAGGTGGGGAGCCTTCTGGATACATCCCTACATATTCCACTCGTAATACAGCATCCAGGTAGTTTGTCCCCTAACACACGGCATTTTGTTCTCTTATTTGCAATATTTTCTCTCTGATGATATATATTTATAAAATTGTCAGTGAATCGCTTTCTGGGAATATGTGGTCAAACTTGTCTTCATGGATGCCACGGAGAGAGGTTCCTTCCCAGGTATGCAATCAATTGAACGTTATAGCAAGGCTGCATCTGCCCGTTTTGCAATCAATTATGTTTGGCCCTCTCTTTACCTATTGCTGACTGTCACTGATTCGGTCAGCACGGCTGACTCGGTCAGCATTAGCTAGTTTACCTAAAGACTGATATGACTGATATTGCTGACCTAGCACGTACCTGGTCAACAATATTATTTCACTTACTGGGTCAGCAAGAGATAAATACGTTTAATTTTTTAAGAAAAAATTGATAACTATGTCAACCTATATAAAGAATTGGTGTTAGAAATGCAAGAGAGTATTTAGTACTCATGAACTTGGCAGATGCTAGTTTGGCGTTCAAAGTTAAAAGACGACAATAGCTTTACATCTTATTTTTCATACTATATGCAGTCAACAGAAGAAAGTAGCAGGTTCCCTGGCCGTGGAAGGACACTTGGTGCACCCCAAATGGAAACAGTATCCAACAACAGTTCTGACTCGAGCCTACAGGCTAGACTGTTGGAAACCCCTGTCCGCCCTTCAACTCAGGAACCTATAGGTGCAGGACAGCAGAGAAATGATAGAAGGTACTACAAAGAGGTGATCATTTGCAGGCTCGGTTCGGATACAGGCCGGGCCTAACCTATTTTTTTGTCCAACAGTCCTAATATAGCGAACCCAAACCCTTTTTTGCGGGATTGAAAATTTTTCCATACCACCCCTATAAACGGGTCTAAAAGATATTTTAGCTATAAAAAATATAACGTATGTAAAATAAAGGATTAGCAGACCAGACGGGTCTAACGGGTGGTCCCATCCATGAACAGCTGAAATGGAAGTTGCAATTTACCCGTTGACTATATCATGTCTATTCTGCTTTTCTCTGTTTGTGTTTTTTTTTCTTGGATGCTGGTTCTAAACCACCAAAAAGAAGCAAAACAACAATTTGAAAGTTGATTGGATCATCTTTGTTGGGTGTTTGTACTTTAGGCAGCCAGGGATAGATAACACAGCAGCTGCAACTATGGGCTCCCCTGTCAGTCAGGTTATATCCTATCTTTGATCTCAGAGTCGAAAAATCAAATCTATTTTTGTTCCTATTTTGGGAATGTTGTCGGTTAGAACCAACTTATATAGAAATATATATATATATATATATATATATATCTTGTGTAACTTTATATAAATGCAGGTCACAGTTGCATCAGATGAAGACATTCAAAAGCTTCTAGCAATGGGTTTTGATAAGGTAAAACAATGATCCTTATAAAGATACCCCCCTGCCTCCCTCCCTCCCTCCCTCCCTCCCTGGTTTCTTGAAAGATGCTTTGCGGTTTGTTTCAGACACAGGTGGAAGTTGCCATAGCAGCTGCAGATGGAGATGTGAATGTAGCTGTTGAAATACTCATGAGCCAACAGGTAAGTATCTGAAAGCTTGTATTGTAAAAACCCTGAGGGCCAGCCTGACTCGTAAATAAACCCATGCCTTGTGGTTCCTTCTTATGGGCCTCTCGGGATTTTCCTGGTTGTTGTCTTCGGTCCCCATATGGTACGCAGGATAGGACCGGATGAGACATGACAATACAAAAACTTCTTGTCCTATGTTTGATGTGATATTAGACTGGAAATCCGGAACCTAAGTGAGATAAAAATGCATTTTTTCCGTCCCACCAATGGAACAAAAGTAACATAGATGGGACAAAATTGGTAAATTACAGAACTACCCATGTCAAATTAATATCCTTTCACAATTTTTTCACCGGCCTACATCACTCTCCGCACGTCGAGTCTTGTCCTATCTTGTCCTGTCCATGTACCAAACAAACCCAAATGGGATTAGTCGATGTACGTGCAAGTTGGCCCGGACATCCACAATTACCAAAAATAAATTAAAAAACTTGTGTTGAACCACCTATGGAGAAAATTTTGGTTGGCATTGTGCAGGGATGACTTGAAAAGGTTGTTTCTTAACGGAAAAACGCATATCCGGCTTAGGGAGGCATCGTGCTTGTGGATATTTGTCTCTATGTCTAATGATCTTTCCAACTGTACCTTCTTTCAGATCTTTAGTTTTGATTTAGACTATCATATACTTGAAGAACGAAAAAATGTGAACTTGTCGTGTTAATGATTAGGGCAATTAGCGTGTGATGACTAGGACTCACCGCTTATCGGAAACTGCACTTTTTTATGTACTTAAAAGTGGTTGTATATGATTGCTGCTGAAATTTTATGCGATCCAGGGTTGGCTTCCCAATTTGTATGTTTCTTGGTTCGGGCTTTTTATAGAAGGATTCAGAGGTTAATCGCGTATATGCGTAATTTTGGGCAACAAAATACTGGTTGATGGCCGGTTTTAAGGCGTTTGAACATCCCAATCCAACTAGTATCGTTTGAAATATCTCAACTTGTTAAAAAAAATATTCAAGAATAACCCAACCCCTGTGGGTTGGGATGGTCGGGGGTTATGACATAATAGCATCACAGGGGAACAAAGGAAAAGCTCGACTAGCATCAAGGAAAAGCAGAACATTCATTCAAATAGGAAAAGAAAAACCACTATCTGATTAGTTTGAGCTTGACTCTAAAGGTCAAAAGTACCAGAAGATCTTAGGTTCAAATCCAAGGAGGAATAAAAATCCCCTGTGGCCATAGAGCTTCAAATGCGGTGACTCCGGGCTATTTGCAAAGCAAGTGGTCGCCTGGGATTAGTCGGCTCGCATAGCGGGTTGGATATCCAGGTTAATAAAAAAAGTTACTGGTAAAATTGTGATATAATTATGAAAAGAGCTAACTAGTTGTTTGTCGTAGTCATGCAGATCAAAAACGGGTCTAAACAGAAGATGCGTGTAACACATAAGATGGGTATAGGTTTATTGTATTGGGTTGTGTTAAAATAGTTTTAACATAATTAGTTTCGACCACAGTACCGTTCTTTAGCATGTTAAATGTGTGATTTTGACCGGACCCCTAAATTTTTGGAGCTTAGTTTTACATTATTTAGGGTATTTCATCAATGAATGTAAAATTATAGCTCACCTCAGTGCCCTCTAATTTCTATTGGAAAACAAAAGTAATACGTCTCATCATCACCTCTGTAATTTGTAATTTATGTATGTATCTGTTTTATCTCATTTTGCAACAAGACCTCTAAAAAGATTGAAACGTCCATGTTCAACCCAATACCCGTGGTTTGAATATTTTACAGCTCAATTAGCTACCAGATGGCTTTAGGTTGAGTTGACTAGGTTAGTCAGGTTTTTACCCATAAGCCAAAACATCAAACCAAACAGGGTCAAGCCAAATCGGTCAGTATGATGCGGTTTTGAAACAAAGCGGTTCTTTTTAGCTTTGGTTCAATTATGAAAATTGTTTCGTCTTCAGGATTGGCATGTGTCGTCGTATTTCCTCCAAATGATACATATATTTTATGTCGTGGAACAAAGGTTTGTGTTAACCCAGAGCTTTACATCGTACTGATCACAGTGATCTAGCGAAGCTGCATTTTTTAACCCGATACCTTGTTATGAAAACTTCATCACTTTCTCCTGGGATAATTCAACATGAGTTTAAATGAATACTATTGAAACATTTAACGTGAATTAAAATTTTATTTGAACGATGAATTGAAGATGTTTTATGATATACAATCATACAGAGAAGGGTTCATATCTGATATCTGGGTATCAAATTAATTATGAAAAAACAAGATACCAAGCGTTTTTACACATGAAAGACGAATAATATACAATAACGTAAACGTTCCGAACATGACTCAGGTGCTTAAGATACATAGTTCAACAACATATACTCGATTACACACATTTACTACCACGACACAATAAGTGGTTTACAACATAACAAATACCAATTGAACGTATGGCTTCAAGTTCCGCCTTTGCCATAACTTACTTATGATTATACGACACCTTGGAAAGGGAGCAACGAGAATTAGCTCGACAACGCCTTTTGGGGACGAACGATTAGAACGGGACATTTCGCATGATGTGCACAATAATCACTAATGCTTCCGAGTACGGCCCTACGTGATTAATCGAGGTTATTTATTACAAGATATTGATAATATTGATTTTGATTCGTTATATTTTTCATTTTATTAAAATAATATTTTAAATAATTTTAAACAATTTTTTAAATTTATTTTGAAATTAATAGGATTTAGGGTACCTTTTGATATGGCCAAGACCTCTGCTGCCAACAACCAGAAGATCGACATCCATTTGCTCCACAGCTTCCACTAATATTTCCTTTGGCTTTCCCTTTAATACCAAATACTCTGCTTTTATCTGTTAATACAGTAAAATAATCAGTGTTTTCAAAGGCTCGTTATAACAGCTGTAATGATGTACTGTAACTCAAGGTTCGCATTGCGTGCCACTGACAAGGCATATCTATGTGTGTGTGTGTGTGTGTATCTATATCAACCGTTTGCTCATTTATACTGTATTATAAAGCATTTGATAAAAAAAATTAAAAACCATTTTTTATGCATGAAATACAGTTTACTGATGCATATTATTTAAAATTCAAGATTACAATTAAATTATGCATATGTACAACTTATTAAATCTCCATTTTTGAATTCGTGTAACTAACTGCGGATAAACATAATCAAATAGAGGATAAACATCGCATTTAAATATAAAAAATCTAAGATATAATTAGGATAGTCATTGACTTTTAACAAAATACTTAATTATTATCTTTATAAAAAGAATATTATTAAACCAAAAATAAAAAAATTAAAGAAATACACAAAAAATAGAGAAATTTTAAATAGTTAGTTTGATACTTATATAAATATTTTTTTTCATTTTTTTTATCATATCTTCATATTTATATTTTATTCAAAAATAAAAACATTATGCATTCTCAAAAACACATAAAATCGTATTATAACATCGGTGGAGACAAAAAAAATTAAAATAGAGATGTATCTCGCTGCATTGTGCGAGTACCCTTCCAGTCTAATTTAATGGTCATATAGAGTCTCTTGATTCAAAAGTTATGGTAAACGACCCTTAATTAATGATGTTAACGTTCATATATGTATGAATTTTTGTCCGAGTGTTCATGAAAAAGGGTATATGGTAAGTTTAGGAGGATATAACATATAATTTTGAACAACCTTATGTTCGTCGCACAATTCTGTAGCACGAGCGAGAACTTTGGCGCCACTTTCTTCCTCTGCTTTCAAAACCGATTCCTTCATCCCGGGCGTTGTAAATAGAACTATAAATAAAAATTTAAATTGTAAAAACAGATAATATTAAACCAGAACTGTATCTGTGTAATACAACACGAGAAATCTTGATTCTCAATTCTGAAGCCGAGTACTCAAACCCACAAATCCTAATTTGCGATTGGTTCATTCTCAATTGGTTTTATAGAGTCCAAATATAGTAAACAGGGTTGGGTGCACATGAGAACGACTTCTTGTTATGAGATCTGTGAGACCACAAAATAACACTGAAACATCACAGCATAAAATTGTCAAGGTACAAAAAATAGTGAAACCTCACAACAAAAACACTGTGAATTCGCCTTTTTATTTTTCTAAATATGATAAAAGCTTTTAACAACATGAGTTAAATGTTTTCTAACATAGTAAACAAGGTGGGGTTCACGTGATATCAGTCTGTTTTCATAAGACTATAAAATAACATTGAAACTTCACAGCATAAAATTGTGAAGATATAAAAAACATCAAAACTTCAGAGAAAAACACTATGAATGTTTACCTTTATTATGTTTCATTGTTAAAGTTCAGTATTATTTACGTGGTCCCACAAAAATAAGATATATATAACTACTTACTAGGGCCAACAGGGAGGGCGGTGTAAGAAGGTTGAAAGGGAGGTTGAACGTGAACCACCGTGACGGAAAACGGAGGATCCTTATCGGCGGTGGGGGAGTGATGGAAGAGGTGTTCGAGAGCCCATTGGAGGGCGTGGAAACTTCCATCGCTCTCGTCTACAGCTATCCATATCTTCATTGTTGACTTCTCCTCCGCCGCCGTCTCCTCCCCTCCGTTCACCGTTTTCATCTCCGCCGCCGCCGTCTCCTCCTTTGCATTCGCCATCTCCGTCTCTCTCTCTAGAATTCTGAAATAAACACCTTTGCCACCTTTGTTTCAGTGTCCAGATAAGGCAAGGAGTATTACGTCTATATATACGAAATTACCAAATTCACTTTTTCATATTTTTTAAATTAAAATTATATTTTAGTATCGTCCTCTTGTCTAAAAGTGTTACAATAAGTTTGTAAAGTTAAGCATTTTTAACAAGCTTTTTAGGACAATTTTAAAATAAATTGTGATATGAAACTTTATTTTAAAATCATTTAAAAAAATCTTGTTAAAACGTCTATAAACATCTTATAAACTTATTGTAACAATTGTTAAGAAAAACGCATTTTAGTTTGGTTCTCTAAACTTAAGTCTAATAAAGTATTTTATTAGGACACCTAATGACCTATACAGTTTAGACGACGTCTTATAAAACCAATTTTGTTATATTGTCTTTAAATTTGTATCAATATTATTTAACTACTGATTAATTGTTTTTTTATTAACTTCGATATCCAACCCGCTATGCGAGCCGATTAATCTTAGTATGACCACCTGCAAAAGTTTTTTGATTTTACAAACAACTATATATTAATTTAACTTATAAATTATGTAAATCAAAAGTTTCTATAGGAGTTTCAGTTTTTTACCAAGACAAACCAACCAGTTCTCATATCAATCGTAAGAATTGAGTCGGTACCAATATACTTGATTAGTAGTATCGTACCGACTATCTGTACGTTGTTGGTAATGTGGTACTAGAAGTCGTGTACCATGGTAATACCGTATCAACATATACCAATCGAAAAAAGCTGATATCAAATATAGTTGGTTAATATATAGTATAAAATATTTATATACTAATTATAATTGATGGATATATATATATATATATATATATATATATATATATAACATGGTATTATGACATGTTTACCTTTACTTTTTAACGAAGGATGATGTAAAGGAAGCATGGGCCAATATCCCTTTATATCATGATATCATCTTAACTTTTTTTTAAATTATGACACACCACTTCTTTAATTTTCTTTTTTTTTTACAAACTTTGTTTGCTTTTTTATTTTTGTTTTGATTAAATATTCATAATATTTTCATCAAAATTCAGTTGCACGAATAAATGCATATTCCAATGGATATATTTCGCTAAAATTGTTTGGAATTCGGTAATGAATAAATATTGTTAACTATCGTTGAAAGAAACTTCGTTGAAGAAACAGTAATCGTATTAATTTTTATTAGGTTTCGGTGAGAATGAAGGGATGGGATAACTACTATTGGATCAATCATAATTAAAGATCAACAATAATGTGATGCACCGAGATGTACTGGATCAATTCCGGTGATAATGCAATTAATAGGGTGGGGATGAGATTAAAATTGATCAAGAGTTCAGATCTCTTCGTACACTTTTCACATTAACTCTTATTCTTACATGATCTTTCGTCTATACATACATACATGCATATATGAACATGTGCACATCTCTCTCTCTCTCTCTGTGTGTGTGTGTGTGTGTGTGTGTGTGTACATGTAGAGAGGGTTTTAAATATAAACCATACAAATTAATCAATTGAGATATTTATAAAAATAATGAGAGCTCATTTATTATGATCTGAATATGGAATACTATTATAGTTCGCTAGTAATAGAAAATACTCAAGATATTGTTAGAACCATATACTTATTAGACTAGATGGGCGTTTGAAAGTGATTTAAACGCTCTATATAAATGACATTGTTTCTCTCTCTTTCTATATATATATATATATATATATATATATATAGAGAGAGAGAGAGGGGGGGGGGTCCATCAAATGCAAATGAACCAAATGTTATAAACCAATTTCAATCGGCTATTTAGTCCAATGAATATATGGTTTCATTAATATATTGATTGTTTCTTAATATAAAGCGTTAATCATAATCAATAAACTCTAACCATCTTCCTTATAAATTCATCATTATCATAAATATCTTAATTGATTGTTTTATATGGTTTATAATCCTTGCATGATTTGTATTTGATTTATAATCTATTATATATATATATACACACACACACATATAGATGAGCGATCAAATGCAAACTACCTAATTTGTACAAACCATGCAAACCACAATCATCGGTCGATTTCATTGTTTAATCTTATGAATTTTTTTATGAAATTGTTTCATATAATACTTTTTTTGATTAAGTTGTTTCATATAATACTTTTTTTGAAATTGTTTCATATAATTTTTTTTTTTGAAATTGTTTGATATAATACTTAATGAAACTGTTTCATGTATTTTTTTTAAAAATTAAAATAATGAAATTGATAATATCTATGATTAACACCTTCCACAATAAAAATGATTAATCATCTTCTCATAATTATAAAAAAATGAACAAAATGAAAATTTATGATTGGTTGAATGAGGTTTGTACGGTTTGTACAAATAACGTGGTTTGCAAAGTAAACATCCTCTCTATATATATATATATATATATATATATATAGAGAGAGAGAGAGAGAGAGAGAGAGTTGGGATCATGTGAGACAAAACTGTTTTCGTGAGGCAAATGAGACACGATTTTTACATTTGAATCTTCACAGCAAAACACTGTGAAAAAACATTGTGAATGTAACATTCACATTTGTTTTTGCTGTTAAGATTCGGCTTTTTTTACAATGTAAAAATCATGTCTCTCAAAAATAGTCTTGCTTCACGTAAAAATCGTGTCTCACGTGTCTTCCAAAAGACCCCCCCCCCCCCCAAAAAAAATGTATTATATCGAACAATAATGCGAAATAAAGATTAAAAAAGATATAGCTTTTAGGCCAATTCATATCGATCAAAAAGGCATCCCCTTTTTATCTAAGCTTTTGATTCATGGCTATGTTTTATCGACCTAAATCTCTCCAAAGTCGACACCTAGTTTTCGATCTTCGGGGTCCTTCTTTTTCGTTTATCGTTTGCAAATGACTAATAAGAACCACGTCTTTTCGTCAATTACATTATTCTCCTTCGATCCTTCACATAACAAACGACCTCTCCCGCAACCATTGGTCATGTTAATCAAGTTGTTTATACCTTTTTGAACATAGTATCATATGTAATCATCTTCTAAAAAATCAACTATCTTCTCCAGAGAGATTCATTTTCATTTGAAAAGTTATAAGTATTTGAGAAGTAAATAAGTGATCTTAATCTTTCATACGGTCAAGATTGGTTTGCGGCTTTGACTGGTCAAACGAAAAATAAATGGGTAGTTTCGTAACTTTTACAAAGTGCGGCAAACAAATGTATATGTGAACTCATAAGTGCATACATGAACCCATAGTTTAGATGTGAACTCATAAGTGCATATATGAACCCATAGTTCATACGTGAATTAGTTAATTAGTTCATACGTAATCAGTTAAATAGTTCATACATAATTCACACGAGTTCACATATGAACATATAGTTCATATGTGAATCATATGGATTCACATATGCACTTGTTTTGCCATCTATTTATGAAAGTGTTGAAACTACTCCTCGATCTCCCGCATATCATGCAGGGAATTATCCGGCACTTCACAGTCAAAGCCGCAAAATCTTGACCAGATGAAGGACAAGAATCAAATCTCTACTTCTCAAATAAACCTATGAATATATATATATATATATATATATATATATATATATATATATATATATACGCAAAGAATCGTGTGAGAATAAAGTTAAGATGATAAGCGTGATAAGAGTTTTGGTTCCTTGATCACCTTTAATCTCAGACTACCCATGAATTGCGCTTGATATGAGGATCAATCGGATGCATATGGGTGCATCCGATTCTAATTCTAATATGCATCAAAAGATAGAGATCTCTTCTTACGCTTCTCAACTTAACCCTTCTTATCACCGAAATCCAACCATATATATGTGTGTGTCTGTTAAATCAAATGAGAACCACAAAAATGCTACAAACCAATAAGAAGTGGTTTAAAAAGTTTTTTCTACATACTATTTCCTCAAATGCTAGAATTAAAATATATGCTTCTCTACTATTGTTTCATAATATGATTGACGCATATTTTTCATTTCACTAAATGAACCTAAAAAGGTTTTCACATGTTATTTTTTTCATAAAATAGAACATAAATATATGTAAAAAAATATCTTAAATCATAGCTTTTGATGAAAAAAATCATATAAAAAAAATTATATTACTTTTCATGGGTTTATAATGTTTTATGATTTTTATTTAATTATCATTTTCCTTCATATATATATATATATATATATATATATATATATATATATACACACACACATATATAAACGCACAAATAATGTTAGACGTCTATATTATTGACATTCACTTTGTTTATTCAGCACAGTAACTAAAAAACACTTTATTTTAGATCATACATACATATTGATCAATATAAACAACTTAATTTTTTCGCTATGCTCAAATCACACATGTTCTCCATTCAGTATCTTTCACAAACTAAATTATCGTAACATTTAAAACAAAAACCACAAGGCGAAAACAACATTCGACATACCATCAAGATCGACCACTTCTCGAGTTGAGTTGCGGACAAAGTTACTTGTGGCGGGGAGGCTTTACTATCAATATCGGGCATCGTGCATGATGCGCACAGAAATCACTTATGCTTCCCAAGAAAGCGCTGCATGAATTAAGTCATCATCCAACAGACCGTTTTACTTTTAAAACAACGTTGGCCCGTTGATTACTTTTCAATTACCTTTTGATTGTGCCGAGACCACGACTACCAACGACGAGAAGATCAATATGCATTTGTTCCACAACTTCACAAATCATCTCTTTAGGGTCCCCTTCCAAAATTAGGGTTTCTGCTTTGATCTACACATAAACGACCCAAAAACTAGATCACGTTTTTCATAACTCATATACACAGGGTCATATATAGAGATGACAAAAAACTCCACACCCGAGAGGAACCCGATACCTGCCCCCTTTTGACCGGAGAATCCCCGAGCAGTTGACCAGGGATGGGGATGGGAAATCCTTGAATTTATAAAACAGAGATGAGGATACCCTTCATCCCAACCCCAAACCCGACATCGACTATTAGTTATACATTTTTATGTATGTATATACCAAGTATAATAATACACCAAGAAACCTAATTAGTCTATACAATGTGTAAATATAATCAATTTTTCCATAATGAAAACCTGTAAAAAGGTTACATCATTGATTTGTTTGTTTATGGGAAACTTTTGTTGATATAAAGACGTGATTATATAAAACTTAAAATCATTACATATTGGTTTGAGCTTGGCTCCAAAGGTCAAAAGTACTTGGAGGTCTCAGGTTCAAATTCGATGAGGAAAAAAAATCTCCTTGTGGCCACGGAGGTTCAAATACGGTGACTTCGGGCTATCTGCAGCAGGTGGTCACCCTAGGATTAGTCGGCTCGCTAGCGGATTGAATATTCAGGTTAATAAAAAAAATACTACATATTGTAATTAATATATTTGTGTTCGAACTACGTTTTTTATATTACCCTTATATAAATCCAACAATTAAAATTTGAGTAATTAATATTTTAGCATTATATGTCGTTTATACATAAAAATATGCATTCATACACATAATATATAAACTCATTACGTAAAAAATTAAAGTGTATAGACAAGGAAAAGTCTCCGATTCCCTGATGGGGATGGGGATGGGGATGGAATCTGACTCCCCAACGGGGATGAGATTGTGATCCCCGATACACCAAACCTTCTGGTCATCTCTAGTCGGACATTGGTTGAAAGGGATCACGTGCACTCGTTCAACTGATTTACGTAAGTTACTTTTTTTTGGATATAAAAGATGCACCCTTTAAACATTGAGAGGTGTTAGATATTAGAAAATACAAACAAAAAAAAACAACCAAAATAAGCAAAATAGTCCATCGAAATCAACTAAAAAACTTAAATAATCTCTCTGAGAAAGTAGAATTCGACTGAAAACACATTTGGTGGCCTAATTTACGGGTCTTGATCCACTTTAAAGTGAAACCACTCGGTATTAAACACATGTTCTAACCATCGTTAAAGAGGAAATTAATACGAAATTTTGTGTTTAGTACTCTAATCATTGTATTTGTAGTTTTGTTATAAACTAACGCATCGATAATTTATATAAAATGGTTGCCAATTACCTTCATTTCTTTACAAACTTTCAATGCACGAGAGAGAAGTGCGGACGCGTTTTGCCGTTGCGCTCTTCTTACGGACTCCACCATCGCGGAGGACACGTACATTGCTACATAACAAGAAAAATACATTATATAATGATTAGAGAACGAAAGTCATCAACGAAAGTTGACTTTTTTTGTTAGCCGGTGTGGATTTGGTCCGGTGGAAAAGCAGCCGAAAACACCCAGTTTTCTAGTAGTGTATATCATCGTGGCAGTTGTCGATATCTTGAAACTTTATTGCATCTTTTTAATAGGAAAATGAGTATCGCTTGATGACAACATGTAAAAAAGTTTGTCTTATGGACCGTTATAAAATGCTTACTCAATAAACGCTTATCAAATCACATTACTTACCAGATGATCAAGAATCTTATCCAATAAACGCTTACCAATTACATTACCTTACTAGATGAAGGTGACAAGAATCAAGAATCTTATTTGATAAGAACGATGGGTAATACGAGTCTAGTCTTATTGGGGCAGGTGAGGATGACGACTTCCACCTAGTTACCGCTTGGGTGTCAACGGGGTAAATTGTTGTATACAGGGATGCAAGCTTATCCAACAAAATAAGTTATAGTGTTGAATTTTATCCGTTAATGCTTACTCGATCATCGCTTGGGTAAACGACCCTTTGATAATTTGAAAAAAACGTGTACCTAACCTAATTGTAATTTTCAAAAGATAAAGGTGCTATTTTAATAAAAAAGGAAAACCAAAGGGGGTAGAGTGTGAATATAATTCAAAGTACGAACAAGCCTCAGAAGGGATGGCATAGCGCTCGAAAGGTTGAATGACATGAGCAACGGTGATCATCCCATGTTCCGGTTCCGGATCCGGATCCGGTTCCGCCAAAGGGATTTGTTCACCGGTGGCCGGAGTCGGAGATACGGCGACGGCGGCAGGCTTGTTGAATAGGTTTTCAACGGTCCATTTCAGAGCGTATAAGCTCATATCACTCTCGTCCACTGCTACCATCACCGTCGGCCTCTTCTTCCTCCTCTCCTCCGCCATCAACGGGTTCCGCAACGGCGGTTGCTCCGTCGTCTTCCGCCGCTCTCCATTCTCACCTGTTCTCTCGACCTCCATTTTAGTTTCGTTGAAAGTGTCGATCGAAGTGCTTGACGCATGCTTCCAAACGCGACTCAAGACCGACTTCTATCATATAAGACCAATTAATCGGCATACGTGGCAAACAGCAATACACGTGGCATTATTGTATTCTTACGTGGACAGTTTTCACGAGCATTATAGTTTTGAAATTTTGCAAAAAAAATTTGTGGTAAAGTAAAAAGAATAGCATGGAAGCGTGAATGGATTATAGACTATATAGTAGGTGTGTTTATGGGTTGGGTTGATTGGGTTGAATACATTTGAACAATATAATTTAATGTTTGTGGTTTGAAAAATCTTAACCCAAACCAAAGTGCAACCCAATCCGTACGGGGTTGGTCGGGTTGATAATTTGGTACATTAAAATATTATTTTAACCTTGAAAATGTTGTTTTTCTACTCATAATTTCTTTTCATCATCAACCATTTGATACAATTTATTCATTTTTTTACGTATATCACATTCAGTTAATTTTCTCAGTTTACATATATATGTTCACAGTTACTGAACATATATACGAATGAATTATACATATATGTGAATATATTGAAAATATGTGTATATGAAGAGCGTACGTGATAGTTTAATTGTCTAATGTATATATTAATAGAAATTTAACGATCATATTAAATCCAATAAATAAAAAGTTATCGGGTTAGGTTGGGTTCAAATAATAGCAATCCAATATCAACCCAATACCTATGGTTTGAAAATTTTACAACTCGATAAGACATCGGTTGCTTCGAGTTAAGTTATTTCGTGTTGGGTTGGGTTGGGTTGATCGGGTTTTGTAGCACCCCTACTATATAGATGAAAAAAACTTATTTATAAGTCACAAAGTATAAAAAAGACAAATTACATGAAAAAGTAACGTATTTTAGTTTGATTTATATTTTAAGTATCGTACTTTTAGAATTTTTATTTTGGTACCTAAGATGTAAAGTTTTAAACATTTAAGTACCCTGGTAACCGGTTGAAGCATTAATCGGTTATCATGCTGATGTGGCGAGTGATGTTAGTATTATTTGCTGACGTGGTTAATGACATGAATTTTTTAATTTAAAATTAGATTTCAACCGGTTATCCAGATATTTAAATATTTAAAATTTTACATATTATATAACAAAATTAAAGTTTTGAAAGTATGTTACCCAAAATATGAATCAAGTTAAAGTACATTATTTTTTCATGCAATTTATCCGGACAAAAATCACAACTTTTAGCAAACCACAAGGACTAAAAATGTAAATTTACTCCAAATATTATTCATAGCATACTACAAATTTGGTTCAAGAGGTTTGTAAAAACTAAGTTTTGGTCCTTACAATTTTGAAATTATAAGATTATCATCATGGTTAATAAAAACGTTCAATATTGATCTCTCTCTTTAACGATCATTACAAATTTCCATTAAATAAGGGTCATTTTTGTTATTTTATCAATTTTTTGTCTTTAAAACAATAAAAAACGAAAAGAACCAAATCATAACATTGATTTTAATTGAGAAAAGTAAATGGACGTTAAAGTGAGATCAATTTAAAAAAAAATGTAGACCTAAAGGGATATTTTATATTAAATGAAGTTATAGGTACTATTTCTGTAAATAAACGATAACCACATGACTAAATTTGTAATTTACTCAAAATCTCAAAAGTCAACTAAAAGCTTCTCAAAATTTTAAGTTAATTACATTTTCGTCCTTGTGGTTTTATAGAATCTACGTAGAAAGTTTTTCCCCCCTAACTTCGTTAAAAAAGCTTTATTAAATTAAGGGTATTTTAATATTCTAGTATTTTCATTTTTATTTATTTTTATATTAAAAATATTAAAATATATATATAACTTATCTATACTATATTATAAAGCATTTGATAAAAACTCTTAAAAACCATTTTTTATGCATAAAGTATTGTATATTGATGCATGTTACTTAAAATTCAAGATTACATGTAATTTTGCGTAAGTACAACTTATTAAAGCTTCATTTTTTAAATTCGTGTAAATAACTACAGATAAACATAATAAAATACATGATAAACATCTATTTTAAATATAGAATATCTAAAATATAATTAAAATAATTATTGAGTTATAACATAATATTTAATTATTATCTTTATAAAAAATCATATTATTAAACCAAAATAAATTACTTTGTTATTAAATCTAAATTAAATTATAATAAAAAATTGAATTAAAGAAATTACATTAAGAAAAAAAGAGCTATTAAATAGTTAATTTGATATTAATATCGATTTTATTTTTTTCAAAATTTTATGCTATCTTCAAATTTACATTTCATTCAAAATAAAAACATTATCACCTTCTCAAAAACGCATAAAATCGTATTATATCAATAGAGACAAATATTAAAAATTAAACATTAAGATGGAGATTTATCTTGCTGTATTGCGCGAGTACTTTTTTAGTTATTCCTAATGACCCTCTATACAATATTAAAAAAACATTTGACAAAAACTCTTAAAAATCATCTTTTATGCATGAAATACTGTTTATTGATGTATATTACTTAAAAATAAAAATTACAAGTATATATATATATATATATATATATATATAATTTAATTTGTATATATAACTTAATGTGTATATATAATAATTTTTTATTTTATTATGTTATAGGGGTGAAATAGTAATTTTTTATTATCATTGTTATACTTTTTTGGGTGGAATAAAGAACTCTAATTTTATCCAATTAAATTGGGATTTTATCATATTTTGTCTCACCTTGTATTTCTCCAATGTCATAATATCATTTATACATCAAACAAAGTATTAAATGACTATGTAAAATCCAATATTAAAATCTAAAAAAGAGGAATGTTTTTTTTTAATTTTTTTTATTAACCTGGATATCTAAACCTGTCAGGATCCAAACGCTTACCACTACGCCAAAAACAATTGCTGATGGAGAAGGTGCAACTTATTTCCTTACAAAACCTGTCAGAATCCAAGCGTTTACAACTACGTCAAAAGCAATTGTTGATAGATAATGTGCAATTTGTTTCCATATAGTGTAACAATCAGCGCCACGTTATGATTTATGAATAAGCTGATTAATGACACAAAATCCCCCACATCATTTGCCAGCACTAACAAGATATTCGCTAGAAAGACAATGGCTGCACAACATGCCTTTGACATTATTATGCACTTCATGGATTCGAATCCGTGACCTGCTTTGATACCACATGTTATGATTCAAATGCTTATCATTACGCCAAAAACGATTGTTGATGAAGAATGTGCAACTTATTTCTTTATAGTGTAGCAGTTAGCACCATGTTTCGATTTAAAAAGATGTTGGTCAATGACCCAACAAAACCACTATGCGAGCCAACTAATCCCATAATGACCACCGCTTCGTGATAGTTCGGAGTCACCGCATTTGAACCTCTATGGATAATATATACTTGGGAGTAAAGTGTAATCAAATTCCAAATTATTTTAGATTATTTATTGCAATTCATATATTTTGTAAAAAGTTTGTTGGAAGATATTGTTTTATAAAAAGTTTATTGAATACTGTCGTTAATGAAAAGTTTGTTAAAAATTACTGATTTGTATAAAATTTGTTGGAACTTATTATTTATATAAAGTTTGTTAAAAATTATTATTTTATAATTAAAAAAAACTGTTGAAAATTACTATTTCATATAATTTTTTTTAAAGTTCATTAAAGTAATAACCATCTTAAATATTTTAATTTTAATAAATATAATTAATATTATGAGAGCATATCGAAAAAAATCTTTTTATAAAATATAGAAAATATAGGTTTTGTTCTAATAGATTCTTTAGCACGAGATTTAAGTATTACTTCATTTATGAAAATCATAGTAATAGGGTCGCAATGACCAAACCCGGAATAACACAACATTTGATAAGACATAACTGAACATATAAAATGACCAATTTACCAAACTATAATAAAATAAATACTTTTATAAACAAAATATATCATTAAAAAATTTATGTCAAACGATTAAAATGACATAAAAATAAAAAAAATTGCGTACTTTCGAATTTTTGTTTAATACCTTTTATAATTTTTTTATCATTAATATTTAATAAATTATATAAATTAATTAAAATAAATGAATCATATAATAATAATAGTTTGAATATATCAAAGTGAAAGTTTAAATAAATATACAATACAATAAATACAATTTAAAGGATGAGTACCATGTAAGGACGAAGGCGTATTTGATAATTTATAAGGGAATTAATTTTTATTTTAAAGTTACTAGAACTGTACCGTACAATGTAGCATGATACATCTTGATTTTAATGTATGTCTTATTATTTGTTCCTGTTGGCTTTATAATATAGTTTGTATAGTGTTGAGAAAGTGAAAGTATTTTCGGTTGTTTATCAATTTTATGGAGTATTTTGATGTTGAAAGTTATCGTTTCTTGTATAATTTATTTCAGATATTTTTTTTATAATTTAATTTTTTTAGATTACTAATGAAGATGTAATTTATTTCGGCTACACAATGTTTTATGAAGATAATGATGAAGTATTATGAGTTTAATGATTATCTTAATTATATTTTAGATATATTATATTTAAAACAAATGTTTATTTTGTGTTTGATTATATTCATCACTTAGTTATGTTAATTCAAACATGCAATTCTAAAGAGTTATATGTAACACCCCAAAGCCCAAAGCAACGAACTAGCCCAATAACTTCGAATGCAACTTAAAACCATGGTGGAAGTTATTAGTAGCCCACTACTTGGGACTTATAAGGAGTTAACAATTCTCACTTTCTATACATGTGGGACGAGTTGTTACAAACTCCCCCACTTAAACTTCTGACGTCCTCGTCATGTTTATCCAGAATCTTCCTCCTTGTCATCGGCAATGTGGGATTTGCCTAAGATGTTACAAACATCCCCTCTCGAGGACTCATCATACCCGATGAGGTTTGCCCCACCATCCCGATGGTACAAGAATCGGCTCTGATA